TAAAAAACAAAAAAAAGGCAGATATTCAATACAATTTGAGCATTCACACAGTTACACACACCTCCATTTCCTTAAAATTGGCACCACCAACTCCAACAATAAGAATCGAGAGGGGCAAGTCGGAGGCCCTAACCACAGAATCTACGGTTTCTTGAAGATTAGAGACCACCCCATCCTGCATAATTACAAAGTCAATGACCGAGAGGAATATGACAAAAGGATGTAAATAGTAAATACATCTCCCTTCCCTTCTTTTTTTTTTTTTTGGCTTACCGTTATAATCAACAGGACATAATACTTGGCCTGGTGGGAAGACAAAGAGTGACCGGCAATATCAGCAGCTTTATTTATGACTTGGCCGAATAGTGTGGGCCCAGCAAGGGAGACATTGTGCAAAGCACTGGCATAAGCAGCCATTATACCTTCCACCCCTTCAACCTAGAGCAAACAAAACAACAAACCAAAAAAAAAAAATATCCTCAATTTAACATTAATTTTTTTTTATCCAAAACAATTAACAACGATAATAACAACAACCCAAATCAAACAAATTTTCTTTATTTGACCCTTAATTCTGTTAAACAAACACAGAACTGAACTATTGTACAGAGAAATAGATTTTCTTACGTCCTCTAATGTAAATGGGAATACCATCCATAATAAAGGTCATTGCAAAATTACAAAATAATCTTCACCGGCATTGATATTTATATTACCTCAAAATCAGCTGGGCTTCCGTTCAAGTTGAAACAGTGAGATATTTTTCCATCAGGCATTCTTCCACCAAATCCCCAGGCAGGGAAACGTCTATCGGAATCATAGAATTGTATAACATCCCCAATCTCCCTTATAGCCTACATCAACTTTTTATACTTTTAACACCCAACTCTAGATGCAAAGTGAAATGCAGAAGAAATTCAAATTTAGCTACAAAAACACAAGTCCATTTGATGATAGAGTACTACTCCAATATTCCATAGGAAACATTGGCGCATGAATTCTTCGTAAAATCCAAATTCTGTTCAAGTGCTTAAAGGTTCAGTAACAAATCTCTCTTACATAATATTTTCTATCACCCCGTATTATGATTTTCAGAAAAGATTCCAATGACACAAACAAATCGAACCACAATAACGGGTTAGATGTGTTACCTGTTGGTACGAGTTCGGGCGACCTGTATGATCAATGTAGTGAAGAGACTCTGGACTTCTAGGATCTCCATTAGATGCTGAAACAAGTTTAAATTCCAACCGAACCCAGACGAATTATGGACCATTGGTAAGAATGAAATTCTAAAATTCAGACAGCTGGTTACTCACCAGTAAAGTCAACAGCAACCATGAAATTAAGTTCAAATCCACTAGAGATGTAGTCAAGGAAGCTGTACAGTTGTTTCTCAACAAATCCATCGACAAATAGTTGACTCTTCAAAACCTAAATTGGCACTAGTCATATGTCAGGGAAACAATGCTATGAGAATAGAGAGGTTTAAGTGGAGAGCATGCAAACCTTATTATGATGATGACGTTTAGAAGATGGGGCGAAGAAATTTGCACCAGCTCTACTTTGGTTAAGGGTTTCCAGTTCAGCAACTGACTTCTGTAATTTTCTGTTTGGGAAGGATTTTATACACCATTATTTCCAAACAAGAAAAAAAAAATGATAAGAAAAACAAAAATAGCATATAACTGCAAATTAATTTAAAAGAAAAAAGGAAAAAAAAAGTTAACTGTAAGAAAAAATGTGAGATGAAATAAAAAATGAGTCCAACGTGCAAGTGCAAAACAAGATTTCCTAAAAGATAAACAACTGCAACAAAAATAAATAAGAATAGTGAAATATTTTTTAGGTACCCGATCAGAGCATGATTTCCGTCGCTATTGAAATCAAAGCACTCAATCATCAATGGGTTCTCCTACAATAAAAGATTGAACAGAATTAGCAAGTAAAGGAAAAGCTATCAACGTAAAATACAATTGCAGATTAATAGTTTTATTCAATGTCTTCTGGAAAAATAAAATGCTTATGATTCGTGTTGAAAAAAAAAATATCAAGCATGGAAATTTTATTACCTTGCTGACGAATTGTTGCATGGTTAGAAGTACAGGTTTCCAAGTAGGATTCAAGTTGTCGTTCACGACTTCTGTCTTGCTAATAGGAACGGAATGTCCACTCTCAATAGTCCTTGAGATTCTTAAGAAAGGATCCTGAAAGATAAATCTATGAAATTAAACCACAAAAAGGTAGGAAAACGGAATAAATAACTTTGATAAAAAAACTGCATACGCTTTTGGAAAACACATCCTTGTTCACTAGATCCGAACAACGAAATGTGATCTCCACAGTATTTCTTGAAGCAACAGTTTCCTCAGCAAGTACTGTTAGTTTCCCCAAGTTTCTTGTAACTCGTACATCTCTACTACGCAGATTCAAGGTCAAGCTTCGATCTCGTTTAGTTACAATCTGTCATGGACATTGACAGACTTAAATATGACACATATTGTTCCAACAAAAATCTTATATACAACAATAACAACAGAGCCTTTTAGTCCCAAATCTTATATAAAAGAAAAAAAGGCAGGTAAAAGCTGGATTCACCTTTGCCTATAATGAAATGGAATTATCTGGTTAAGTTATAAAACCAAGCACTTAGAAATAAAATTAAATTAAGGACATATAGGTCGCCAGTTTTTAACAAATTGCACCTTGAGGAATGAACTTTACCTCAGAGACAACACAACTAGCTTCCCCAAGAAAATCCTGATCTTCTAACTTCAGCATCTGCGGATTTCACCGAATTAATAATTTAGACTTCAACATCAGGAAATGACTAATATTTAATAGACAAAATCTGAAGAAAATTTATGCTCGGAACAGTTGTTCCAACTTAATGGAAGTAGGAATCTAAAAGTAAATCTGTGATGGATTAAAGCCAGAATTAAGGAAGAAAGTTGAGAACTAAATTAGCTAATCTACAGTAGGCCACAAATATAGCTTTAGAGAACAAGACTCTGCATGAAACTTTTAGTCAAGCGACAAGTGCTCAATTTCAAAACATATTTTGAAATTCAAAGAACAAATAAAAAACGGGAACAGCTTAACTGAAACTGGAAATCAAATATCACTAGCATGAATTGAAAATACAGCATACCTTCACTGGCAAATTATGATATTTTGAGTCAATATCGTACACGTGAAAGCTGGAAAAAACAAGCTAGGTTAATATAAAAACAATGGACTGCACAGATGAACATGAAAATAATTGCAAGCTCGGTAAACAAAATCAGAAAAGAAAGTTTGACTACGCACATCAGTGGCTGAACCATCTCAAAATGGTAAGTGATATTTATCTTCTGAATCCAGTTAGGGTCTAGATTGTTCATGATTACTTCAGTTCGTCCAAGTTCCTCAAGCTTCCCATCCCTTCTTGTGTATACCACTGCCATTGGATCACTCTGCAAGAAAGAACAAAAATTTTTCAAGCATTAAATTTTAAACAGGCGACAACATTTTAAAAGAAAATACTGACGAGTGAACATAACAGGTCTGATTAGTTTTGTCGATTAGTGGAGGGAAAAACATGTATAACATCAACAAATTTGGGATAGAAGAAAGTTTCAGGTCCATGCTTGACGCAAACATAATTTGCATATCAGCTGTGATCTAATAGAAGCTTAACTATAGCACAAGAAAACAATGTAAACTGCTTCTGTTATATAGGTTTTCTATATTTTATGAAAAGTAATTTTCAAATTTACGATAAAATTTACTATCAATACTCATCTTTCCAACTTCAGTGAGTATGCTACTGAGTACTGAGGCATGCCAAGTTCATCATTAATGGGGGAAAATCAAGAATATAATTAATACGTGAATGAACCTACGAAATAGCAGTCGCTAACTTATTGAGAAGCTTCCGGCTATACTACTATAAATCTGTGTAGAAAAACATGTGGCACAAGGGAACTTGATGCAGTCCATTGTTTTAAACTACAGAAAATGGCAAGTTGTAGCCAAAGAAGATTATTTATTTAATAAAAAAAAGAAGACAAAAACAAGAATAAAAAAGAATGAAAGGCCAAGTCAACAACAGAAGTCAATGGATCTTAATAAGACACCATCAGCGTAATTACGTAAAGTGCGAAGAAACTTGAAACATGAGACGCTAAAGACATTATACACTCCAAGAGAAGATTTCACTTACCTTAGACGCGATATCAAGATCAAGCAGCTTCGAAGCCGATAGAGACAACTGCAACTCCCAAATAAAGATTTATGTCATGTGAAGCAGTCAAATACACATCCTTGCAAATGCAAAAGAGATATAGAACTCTGAACAGAGTTTGGTTAGTGACAAGACAATTAACACCAAGCATAGGAAACAAGTATGAGGTTCAACTTTCAAGTCTTTTTAAAACTCAGGAGACGAGAATTAATGTAGAAACATTCCAGCATAAAAGTGATTATGAACTAAATATTGTGCATCATTAACACAATGGTCAAGCCTCCCAAAGTTTTTTTTTAACTTTAATGCATAGGAATTGAAAAGTCCAGCCATTTGCCTCTGTACAATGTCAAGTCAACTTCCTAAAATTCTTGGCTCCACCAACCTCCATGATTAGCCTTATGTGTAATTTCCATGCAAACAGTAGATAGTTCATTATATTTGGACACATGCAGCATCAAAAAGTGAATGACGTGTGTTTAAAGCCAAACCGAAAACATTCTCCGACTTTTATACGGTCATTAAATTTATTAAAAGTCTAACTTCGGTTCTACTGATTTGATGTTAGATAATATTTTCTTTTCGAGCGATATCCAGTCGGATGGAAAAAGGATGGCACGACACGAAGCGCAAACACGATTAGAAAACACAGTCAACTAAACAAAACATACACGGCACAAGACACAACATGAAAAACATAAAAAATTAATTGAATTTCGATTCACTATCATGATTATGAGCAAATAAATATAATAGAAAGCAAATAAACACAACACGAACATTATTAGACAAAACGATCATAGAAATAAAATATACAGCACACAAAACACAACAAGAAAAATACTATCTAAAAATTTTTAGTTAAATTTTAATTTACTATCATGTTTACGAGCAAATAAAACAAACACGGCGTGATAGCACGATTTATCAACCTCCTAACATGGAGACTATCCCGGGTCTTAGGCTCTCATTGTCACCAATGCTTTTTTTTTTTTTTTTTTCTTTTATCAAATTAGATACGCCTAAGTAAGTTTATAACAGCCCAAACAAGCCAACAATTTCTTAAGCACTTTTTACAACACTGCACTTGACAAGAACCATGAAAAATCTTTTCGATATCTACGAAACAAATTACACACAGAGTATTTAAAATCCACGAACAATTTCTCGAGTATGGACCACGAAGACCCCACAGGACAGGACTACACCATACAATGGTAAAAACATGGTTAATATCAATTTTTGTTTTCTCCTTTTCGATACCTCGATCGGCGTGAAAAGCGCATGTTCTCCTTTGGCCCTGAAGAAATTGTCCACGGCGTCGTTTGTGCCGCTGCTGGCGGCGCCGCCGAAAGCACCAGTTTGGGCCCCACCGCCGACCGCCTGCTGACCGCCCTTCACATCCGACAAGCAATTCCCCATGGTCGACCGCAAAAGCACCAATGTCTTCCCCAAATAAAATTGGAATAAATCTCTCTGATGAATTCTGAAACCTTCTTTCCCTCTGGCTATGGCGGTTGCTCTGGGGTTTTTTTATAGATAAAAATTCAGAAAGCCGCGTTTCAAAAATATGAATTTTCGCTTTTCCCTTTTTTAGATTATATGAAATAAATAAAATAAAATAAAATAGGTAGAGTTTGTTGGTTGAGGTCGATTGAAATTCATAACCAAACTTATAAATATAGATTGTTATTATTATCATAAATAGATTATTATGATTATTATTACGATGTGAAATTTGTACAAAATTGAATCTTTTGAAAACGATTGGCGACCAAATTTCCATTGCTTGGGACATGGCCACCCCATTATTTTTGGTTAATTTCTATTTACCGCCCATTTTACTACTTATCGCCCCTCAATTACGTTTTTGTCTTTCACTCTCTTTCTACTCTTTTCTTCTCGATTTTCTACGGCTCTTTTGGTCGTCAAAAAAATTTCTAAAAAATGCCAAGAAAATTTCCGATTGGACGCGACTGTGCGCGTCCGGCCGGACGCGCAAAAAAGAAAAATAAAAAAAAATAAAAATTATTTATAAAGTAAAAAAAATATAAAAAAAAATACTTGGTTAATCATCAATGTCTTGCCTATGTCACGGTATTTTTTTGGCATTTTTTCAAAAAAAAATTAACGGTCAAAAGAGCCGTAGAAAGTCGAGAGGAAAAGAGTAGAGAGAGAGAGTACTCAAGGGCAAAAACGTTCAAGGGGGGCGGTGACTAGTAATAAGGGTGGTAAATAGTAATGCCCTTTTTTATTAAAGGAAAAATACAATTTTAGTAAGTTGGTTTGATTAGTGGCGTTGTTAGTCCTAAGAATTGAACATTTTTGTTATTTGGTCCTATGATTTTAAATTTCAGTGCAATTTCAGTCATTTGAGACTGAAAATGCAACAAAATCTAAAATTAAAAGACCAAAAGATAAAAAGTTGAAATCTTAAAACTAAAAATGCTACAACTTTAAACCAACATGACTAAAAATATAATTTTACCTTTTATTATTTATATAAATCATGCCTTTTTCATTAATTGGTGACGGTTACATTCAAGGTTATCTTATAAATTTTGTTGTAAAATGGCATGAACACACTTTCAGCACCTTTTTTTTATGATGGAGATCGGGTGACCCACTCTTTACTAACTTTCATGTGTGAAAGACAAAATAAGAATATAATTTCCGTCGATTTTCATAAAAGAAGTTTATCTACATTGGATTTTTGGATTTAAATTCCCGTCTTGTACACAAAAATCAGTACGCACTCGTGTGTGATGCACGATGATAACAATATATAAAATAATTTTATTATGATTATGATGCGAGAAAGCAATATTGAAAATAATTTTATAAAACTAAATATCATGTTAAAATTATAATTAATTCTATAAATAAAATATTGAAGAATTTTTGTGATAGGTCGAACAGCTAAAGAATTTTTATTGAAGAAAATATATAAATTGTTGTGAATTCTTTATTTGGTGGCGTGATAAAATTCAATTTGGACGAGAAATCAACTGATAAAATTGCTAAATGAGTAATATTCTTTTAAAAAAAAATGTTGTCATACATTGAAAATATTAATAGTGATTTTAAATGTTATTTATGTTATGTCCTCGAATGGCCATCGTCCTTGAGCTCCGATGACCTGCAATATGCCGTGAGGGGGTCCCAACGGAAAACCTCTAACCCTCAAGTCAGAACTCGCTCAAACTTTATAAATAAAATATGTAAATAAAATGTAGAATGTGTGTTATCGATGAAAGAGACTTGTCGCCCTTATATAGGGCTCATACCTTGGGGTCGAAGAGAGTTTTTGTTACGAAAGAGATCCAACCAGATCCTTCTTCCTTAATTTATCACGTCTCTATTTCGGCAAAAATCCTTGAGCGAATGATTTTTTCCTTCTTACTAGGATTATTTCCTTCTAGCCATAGGTCCTTAGGTCATGATCCCAACCTCCTGACCTATCTATCGTGGTCTTCCTGAGGACATACATGACTTTGTCGTGACTCGTGAGGTCTAGCCTGACCTCATTATTAGGTCTAACTTGTCCCCAGACCACCATTCCTCAATACCTTGAGGTCGGATACTTTGTCGGGCTCCTCGAAGTCGGCCCCTCCAGATTGTGTCTTTCTTGTTAGCTCGGCCCCTTAAGCCCATATACGAGCTACTTGACCGAGTATCTTACCTCTAATTTACGGGAGCTCTCATAGCCTAGTCTAACTGAGCTAACTCCTCAGACTATTTTATTGAGCTGCTTCTGAGTGTCATATCATCTGGCCCACCATTTCAGGACGAGCTAATCGGACGTATGTTGAAATGGACCTTTGTACCCATGACTATGCATCTGACCTTCTTTTCTTATTCGATGTATCAAATAACTCTTGGAAAGCGTGAAACGCCAAAAAGATATTTTGTACATGCTCATAATCTAGTTTTAACACGTACACTACACATGTGGATGCGTCAAACTAAATTCTTGCGAGATTCTTGAATCTTGCATCTTCCAACGGTCTGATTTCTTCTACAGACAGTTACTTTTATTGGCTTATAAAAGTTTTTCTCTTCAATATCTTAACTACCTTGTTCTTGCGTACTTAACTCCTCTTTGTGAAAACTCTCTCTTGCTTCTTATATTTCCAGTGATCTTCTTTTTGTGATTCTCTCGACATCCTCCTTTCATCTCTTTTCATGGGTATGGTATGACTTTTCTCTGATTTTTTTTTTTTTTTTTTTTTTTTTTTTTTTTT